GTGGTGATGGTGACTAAAGCTAATGGGAAGTGACGTCTCTGTGTCGATTTTACTGAGCTCAACAAGGCGTGCTAAAAAGACAGCTACCCATTACCATGAATTGATCTTCTCATCGACGCCACCGCGGGACATGAGCTGCTCTCCTTCTTGGATGCATATTTTGGGTATAACCAGATTAGCATGCACCCCGCAGACCAAGAAAAGACATCGTTCATTACACCAAATGGGACCTACTGCTTTAGGGTCATGCCCTTCGGGTTAAAGAATGCTGCAACGACTTATCAACGGTTGGTAAACAAGATGTTCTAGTTGTAGATCGAAAAAACAATGGAGGTATATGTGGACGACATGCTAGTGATGAGTCTCACCGCGATAGACCACATTGATCGCCTTCAGAAAACCTTCAATGTTCTCAGATCTTACCACATGAAGCTGAACCCTGAGAAGTGTTCTTTTGGCGTTGGATTGGGAAATTTCCTAGGTTTTATGGTCAACCAAAGGGGAATTGAGGCAAACCCTGACAAAATCAAAGTCATTCTCGACATGAAAACACCTTCCTCGACCAAGGAGCTACAGCGCCTCAATGGGAGAAAATCATTCCTTTCTTCCCCAATGTTTTGACTTTGCACCTCTTCGTTAGGTCCGTTCATTGGGGGTGGATGAGGATCTTGTCCCTAGGTCTGACTATTTTTTCCTCCTTCACCTACTTCTCGGAGGGGGTTAAGATGTTGTTGCTCTCTGTGAAAGGGGTTATTCTAGCCTTCTTAGGCCGGTCGTGCCTCCTCAGGGCGTTGCAAGAGTTCTTTGTTTTGTTGTATTAGACATTGATTAACTAGATGAAGAGCCTCCAACTCATTGTTTGTGTGGGGATTCCCTATGGGGGGATTTGCCCCTGGGACGTTCTTAGGTTGTCTATCGTTGGTGGCTTCCTGTTGTTCTTGCATTCGTGGTAGATTGGTCTGGCTTCTGCTCATATTACGGGTTGAAATCATCAGTCACTGAAAGATCAGCGTATTTGTAACAAGAACAATCGTTCCCACAGACGACGCCAAACTGATGGTGTAAATTAACGTGATGCAAATTTATGGTAACGAGTAGATAGAATGATCAGTATCTGGCTATTAGGATCTGAGCTACAAGGCTCAAAAGAGCAAGGACTGGTATCGATGGGAAATTGGGGGATTGTCGCAATAGAATTATAGTGGTTCACCAGTTCAGGAGCTCGGCTAATCTACCCTTCAATGGAGATGTTTGCTCATTTTCTCTTTTCTCATCATTCAGAAGGTTTACATGATTGAGTATATGTAACTCGAGTTTTTCTCTCCCTGCTTTGGGAGAGTTACATAATATTTATAGGGCTGTTACTAGTTCTATGAGATCTGCACCAAGATCCTTGCTATTTATCCGAGAAACTCTCCTTAATCTTAGGAGAGGATCTTGGCTGGTTAAGGATTTTATGCCTTGAATGTGGCTCTTTGCCACCTAACAGATTTCTATTATCATCCAGTTGTTTCCTTATCACTTTCGCTGTTGGCGCGTCAGGAGGGGAAGCTCTAGCTCTAACCTGGGCTTTGCGTGTCTTTCCTGACTTCTTTTTCAGACCTACTTGTTTGACCTCTTGGTCTGACCTCCTGGTCCGACCTCATGCTTGAAAATTATTTTGAGTACTATCAATTTGTTGGCTTGGCGCTAAATAAGCCTTCATTACTTAATGCTGCCATGGAATTTCTTCTGCTGGACTTGGTGATGTCCAATCATGGATTGTCCCGCAGAGGCAAAGGGTCTCTACGCATGCGTAAGCAGTGTTATCCTTACAAATATTTTTACAGTCGTCATCAACTGAGCAATGATGCACATAAACTACATTCCTTGCTTCACCTCCCCAACAAAAACCTGCCCAAAGGTGTTTCACCCAAACCCATCAATATATTTACTAGCTGAATAATTCATTGGAATCAAGTCTTTTGTACAAAGTTTGATACATTTATATGTGTGGGTGTGTGGGTGTGTGTTTGAATGTATGTGTTGCCCACGTGCAAACACATATATACAGTTTGCTCCAGGTGAGAAGTAGTCAGTAATGCATGTTCAGATATATATATATATATATATATATATAGAGAGAGAGAGAGAGAGAGAGAGAGAGAGAGAGAGAGAGAGACTAACACCGTGCTGGTGTCATTTTTTTTTGTCAGTCTAGTAATACCCAACTACAAAAGGGATCAAAAGTACCACCATATCATTGCAACTTCATTTTGGTCATCTTTTCAATTTTATTTGTAGGTGAATTTTGAAACTCTGATTCATAAAGCTATTCCAACAATTTTGCTGTTATAATTAAAAGTGGATGTCTTGGATTAAATCATATTGTCATTGGTGATCTTCACAACTTAAATGAACACATCTCATACACTCGTATGTAAATGAGTGAAGGAAATATGCTTTCTTTGAACTCATCCATTTATTCATTGTTGTATCATTTTTTCAAACTTGAAAAAACTTCATGCAATTGGGGAAAAAAGAAATTAGAAAAAAGGAAGGACAGAAAGAATATTACTGACATTATCTGCCTCTAGGGTGATCAAAGGTAATTGCAACTTCTTTTTTTGTTGCTTATCTAAATCTTAAGAACTAAATGTAGCTTCGATGCCCTTACAAGCACAACTTATTTATGCATTTATGCAACAAACCCGGAATATTGGATGTGTCAATGGTAACGTAGGAGTGAGAGTGATACAAAAGAAAATCTTTTGCTACTTCACTTTTCAATCCAATTTCTCAACTTCAAAACTTTGCATGTGTACATCATCACTTATCCTGATTTTTTAATGAAATGGACCCATCCTAAATGAGTAATATTAAACTAGCTAAAAAATGCGACAAAAAAAAATGCTTTTAGTCTCATTTTTGTTCATTTAAAATTCAAGATTTATTCATTATGTCAGTTGTCACATTATTTGGGTTTTGTTTCTAGTCTTTTTCTTTGTTAGTGTAAAATTACTCATTCTAAATACTTAAAAAAGGCACTAGATTAACTAATAAAACAAGGGTTCAAATGAAAAAAATGGGCAAATTATACCTTGACCCCTTAACTATGGACTCGGTTTCACTTTGTTCCTCAAACTATTGAATTTTGTACATCGTCTCCTCAATTAATAGAATTATTTTGCATTGTCCCAGATGCAAACTTCCCTTATATTTTTTGAAGGCAATTGCGTATATGTCGGGATAAAGTGAAAAAAAATTAAATAGTTCAAGGGTGGAATGAAGTAAATTTTCGTCAAATTAGTAACGGTCATTATTAATTAGGGTGGTGTGAAACTAATTACATAATCAAGGATGCAATATGAAAAACATGAGGTTAAGGAGGGGTAATGTGATAAAAGACTTATACTTTTTTACATCATCTCCTCAACTAATTGAATTAGGTTGAGGAGGGACAATGTGATAAAAGGGTTATATACCCAAGAAAAATTAATGAAATTAAACCACACAATAAGAGGAGAGAGAAAACTACCATTGCCATGCTTGCTAAAACTTTTGTAAGCATGTTATAACACTTAAAGTAATGCAACCCAAAAAAAAAAAAAAGAATCTTTAAGTAATGCGCTTACTTATGTACATATGTAAACTATTCTACATGCATTTAACATTGTAGAACAAGAATACACATAGGTACAAAAAACCAAAAACAATAGTATGCAAAATAAAGAATACCTAATAAATGTACTTCAAACAACAAATAGAAAACGAAAAACACTTGCACTAAAACAAAACCTTTCTTCGGATCATTTTGTTTGTGATATATAAGGTTGTGCGCACACATGAGAGAGAAAGAGAGAGACTAACAAGATGAAATAATTAACAGCAAGATTATAAACACCACTTCGATTGATGCCTTCTGCATAATTTTCAAAGGTTTGTTGTATGGTGCTAAGTTGACAACTTTAGAAGCCCCTTTCCTGAATCTATAGGTGAAGCCAATGGACAATATAAGTCATATGCATTAAAAAGTCACCCGATGGCATAAATATTTCTATTGATTAAATCATTTTTGCTACTAATGGTATATTTGATATGGTGTCATTAAATGGCATATCTACATAGATCTCATGACATAGCTGAGGGAAAATTCTTTTTTTTTTTCGGGGGTACCCTAAAGATCTTGTGTAAACAAGTAGCTTGGGGCAAATGATAAAGTCGATCAATTGACTGTGATTTTCAATTTCTGCTATATATTATCATTAATGCTTCTGATTTATCAAAGTAATTATACCAACTAAAAACTAAGGATTCCAACACTTGGTGATCTATTATTTGTAGAAATTGATCAGGGGAAGATATATTAAAGAGAATTAAAATCCAGACACTGGTTACAACAAAATGGTGCACGCATCCCGTATAGAGCATAGAAGTAGGGTAATACTACACTGGTCATAAATATTTCAGGACCAAACTTTCAAAACACCACATGAATGTCATTTCATTTTGGTCCAAAAATCAAGCATTAAATCCAAACATTGATTAGTCAACATTGCTTCATTACTTTATCAACAACACCACATGAACATCATAAATTTGGTCACTTAACATTATACTCATAAAGAGGGGGTTCTGTTAGAACCCTGGGTGGACTTGCCCTTCCCATTTTCACCGGAAACATAAGTTGTCACATCAACTATATTGAGAGTAGCTAAAGATGATGAGATTTTCCTCTGGTTAGAAGAATGTTTCTAATTTTCAAATTTTGAATTTCTTCCTTGAAGCACGTGAACTCAAAGCTTGGCTCACAACCTTGTGGTTGGAAGCCATGTCCTTGTTAATTAAGGGTTGTGATGTGATTCCTCGAAGGCTATCATCCTTCCATTTGTCAATAACAATTTCTAGGTTAGAGATTGCTATAGCATGAGCTTTTCTAGAGTTAGCAAAGCTCATTTCTACGGAGAAAAATGGTTATAGAGAAGAATGTAGGTAAGAGAAAATTTAGGTGACTAAGAAAGATGAAAGCAAATTATGAATATGAGATGAGAATTGGGAACAAAGGAGAAAGGGAAAGAACACTGAGAAATCAGACATTAGGAGGCAACAAACAGAATGGCAAGGTGAAATCAATGGCGAGGAGGAGGCCATCAGTAGGGAGTGTGTTGAAGAAGGGAGCGAGGGAAGGGATCCAGTGATAAAGGGGAGAAGTTGAAAAAGATCCCTCCTCTTATTCCTCTAGTTTGATGAATAGAAGAAGTGGGTTAGCTTCCTTTCTTTTTTTTTAGAAAAAGCAACTCCCTAGGGTTATGAGGATTCAGATGATATCAGAGCATCTCAAATAGGAAAATATATTGAGATTTTGGAAGTGAGAGTTAGTATTGTTACTCGGTCCAAATTTATTGACGAAATTTGCTTGTCAAATTCACTTGGGATGGTGCTGAGTTATGGCCAATGGGGCCATGCCTCGCCTTAAGTTTTCAGTATTATACAATATACCCCTTAAATTATGAAATTTTACTTTATTTTATATTTTCCTTAAATTTTGAGAATAACCCTAAATTATGATTTTTATTGTGTTTTACTCTGTATTGTTGATTTTAAAAGTTTTTTGAATGACTAATAGTATGTTCGAAGAGGGGTAATTTGGAAAAATATAATTCCGGAATACATATACATGTAAGGTTCATAACCGTACAATGTACACATTAGAATGATTCTCCCTCACTATCTCAACATCTTTTAAATGTTAAATGTACTCAAGTCACTATTAATGAACTAAGCTGAAATTATTAATTATTCAATAAATAAGTGTGATTTTTGTACCGTTTATTTAATTTCAAAAAAATTGATTTAGTTTTATCCCTTCTATTGGAAATTGTATGCATTGAATAGCCAGCACATTAAATAAAAACTTATTGCTGGTCACACTCAAGATCAACTGCAGTGTTAAAATAAAAAGGCAATATTTTATTTATAAATTGTCATGACAGCCTGAAAATTACTCATACCCAAACAAACAACTAAAGCACCTAAGAGAGAGAACGAGAGAGGGGGGGGGGGGGGGGGGGGGGGGGAAGAACAAGCCTTCATATAACTAATGCAACTTATTTGTTTAATTAATTTTTGTCCTTGAATGGGCCTTTAGTGCCATGGAAATTCTTGTGCTGAACTTGGCGATGTCCAACCATGGATTCTACCCCCACAAAGGCACAGGGTCTCTACGCATGCGTAAGCCTTGCTATTCTTACAATGATCTTTACAGTCCGCGTCAACTTTGCATTGATGCACATGAACTACATTCCTTGCTTCACCTCCCAAACGAAGACCTGCTAATTAAAAAATGTTTCAGTACTCAAACCCATTAGTATATTTAATGCTGAACAATTCATTGGAATGAAGTCTTTCCTTGAAAAAACTTGATAAATTTATAGACGTGTGCATGTTTGTATGTATATATTCAGATACAGAACAAAGAGTTTACGTTTAAGAGGGGGCAAATTGTGGCGAAGTTAAAATGTTGTCCTCAGTGTTATTAAATTATTAGTGTAAAAATGTTGTCATCAATAGTATTAAAATTTTAATTGTATAGTAAAATCAACTTTCACATAATACATTATATTTCATCTACATTTTAATAAACAACTTATATTTTTTTGTAAGACCACAGTCTTGACCTCCAATCAAGATCTCTTTCTACCTTTTGTGTAACCAAGATTTCAAATCTTTGGGATGTTTGCTATCACCTATCAGGGATTGCATCATAGGTGGATCAATTCAAATTCGACCATATTTGAATTGACCAAAATTTCAATCCAAGTTGTCTAATACTAAAAACAAACCATATAGCCCCAATTTCAACTCGAGTTATATAACCTAACTTCAAAAGTTTAAATATAGATGTTACTCAGATTAAAGACTTAATGTTGAGGTCAAGTTGAGCTTGTGTAATCTATCTAATCCACTTAAATGCACCCTCACATAAGTTTGTGTGTGTGTGTGTGTGTGTGTGTGAGAGAGAGAGAGAGAGAGAGAGAATAACTAGACACAAAAACTAAGAGTATGAATAAGAAAGCCATTTTGATTGAAGCCTTCTCCATGTCTTTGAAGATGATCAGCAACTAAGACCCTTGATGGCTGTGGTGTCAACTATGGAAGTAGATGAGTTTCTCTTTGCTATATTTATAGGTAGATAATGGGGCAATCTAGTGAAATATTTCGACACCATTGAGATTGTTTGGACAACAATGTTTCTGCTCTATGTGGCTATAAGATACAAGGCATCTATATTAATTACATAGGCTTCATATGGGAAAAGATTTAAGTTGCATTAAATTTAAAATCTAAGAGGATTTCCTGGCTTGGGTGATGGAAAATTCTTTTCAAATCCACCATTGGTGCCATTATTTAAAGAATATTTGATCCCCACAATTCACATATTATGCCCCTAAATCTAGCACAGGTGTGTGTGTGTGTGCGTGAGAGAGAGAGAGAGCCACCTGTAGAAATGAGCAAGACAGTACCAATGATAATCAACTTGAATGAAGCCTTCTCCATATCTACTAGGTGGTGCGATTTCAAGCTCTCAACCATATTAAGCTTTAGTTTGGGCTACATTTATAGCGTAGATTTCTTTCTAATGAGATTTATTTTTTAGGCTAGAAAAACATCATTCTTGTGTTTTTACGGTAGGTTCTTAAAAATGGATGCAATATGAGTTTGTCCTACCTGGAGGCCACGTCAGAATGTATCATTTATATCTCGAGTTGCTTATTTGGCTACAATTATTATAAAACTTATTACTAAAGCAATGTTGATTTAACCTTATTTACCAAATTACTGAAGCTACAGTTATTGTAAGCTGAAACTCTTTTAAACGCAAAAGCTTGTTTTGAAAACACATAAAAAAACACTTAAAAGTATGTTTTTAGAACACATTAAACGCAAAAGTTGAAAAGCTTTTTTTTTTTTTTTAAATAACAATAATTTGGTAATTAAATATTAAACTACGATATTTGGGTAAGGAAAATTTCAAAATAACAGTATTTGGATAATTAGTTATTTATATATGTGTATGCAAAGACTTCACTGGTGTCATTTAAATCAAACCTACACAATGCTTATCTGTGTATATGGCAAGAACATAATTGAGTTCATTTATTTTAGTAGGTAGGCTAACTTAACAATGTGAGAGAAATTATTCCCATTCTAGAGAAATTGTAATCCTTCAATTACCATATAGAAGCAGCATAGGACATAATTTTCATGTCACAATAAATATTATGTTCATTTCAGGGAATAATAATGTTATTTGGATATAATTTGTTGACTTAGTCTATCAAAACCATTGAATTAGTTGCTGGTTCAAACAAATTATGGAAATGGGCATAAGAAGGTGTGATCTTTTTATTATTATTTTTTTTTGGGGGGGGGGGGTAGGGGACGGGGAGGGGAAAATGAGGCTTGAACCCTTAACCTCAAGAAGACAAAGTCTTCACAAGGCAAGGAGTATCATTGGACCAAAAGTTCGTTAGTAAAAAAATAACATAAAATAAAAATAGTAATAGTTGTCCAAACCTGGATTATATAAGTTATTTCTTCTGTTTTATTTTTTCTTTGTCCTAGCTAGCTAGTGATGCTCTTTAGCATCGCTCAAAAAACCCCAGCTTAAGCCACGGTGTCTTGTTAACTATATATGTTTTACGTCAACCAGTATATGGGGAAAATTGACAATATTGACAATATTAAAATGGGGTGTTACGAATGATATCAAAAATGGAAGGAGAGAACGTTGCAAGTATGCGATCATATGGGCATTAGGTATATGATCTTCATTGAGTCAAGAAAACTTGAGAGGATTTCTTGACTCAATTCCACAGTTTTTATTCCGAGTATTTGGAGTCTATTTGTCTACAACGATTTGAGATTCGAAAATGTTTACTTATGTATAACATTAAGACAAAAAAGAAACATGTTCCTTAACTACACCAGAAGCTACCATCTAAAAAGTTTTAAATAGATTTGAATACCTTTACTGGTTGATGAGTATAAAATAGAACATATATCTTGATTTTGATAAGATAAACATGTTTAACTCGTACAATATGAAGAAATATTTTGATAGATCCACACTCGTGCTCCTCAATTCACCTAAGGTGGGCAGCTCTCTATTCCTAAGAGATGTTCAATTCACTTCCTCTGTAATCTCAATCATAATATAACTTCCTCTGCCTTTGTTTTTATATAAAAAAAAAATCTTAATTAATTTCTATTACATGGAAAAAAATATTAAAATTTTCAATTTGATATCATGTAAATTCTTTTCAATTTTTTTTTTTTGAAGGAAGAAACTTTTGAGGGCATCTAGTTTGCTTCCATAATGGCTCAAGTGACTTTGTGCTTTAATTTATTTGTCTGTTTTAAAGCATTTCTATCTTTTTCAATGCTTTTGCCTCTATTCCTTTCCCCACTCAGAATACATCCGTTTCTCTTCTAGAACCTTATAAAAGATTTTTAAATTAATTATTTTATACGCTAAAACATTAAAAATATTATATTACATCTTTTTTTCTTTTTTTCAATTGTAATAGTGTGCCCCATTTGGGACACAAATTTGTGAAAAGGAGCAATATTCAATTATTATCTTTGAAGGGATAAATTATAAATTGTATGATTAATTGCATTGGAGGTTTTCAAAGTATGTAATTTGTCTCATTTTGGTTCTCAATATTTTAATTGCATCATTTTGATCTCTGAAGTATTAATTATGTTTTTATATAGTCCCTCAAGTAAACAATTTTCAAATTACTAACGATTTTTTATTATAAACTTATCACGTAATAGTTAAATATGGGTAAAAAATAATTTGGATAACTCTTGACTAAATTTATATCCAAAATTTAGTCCAAAAACTACTCAAATTACACAATTTTGATCATAAATTATCTAAATTTTGGTTTAAGATACTCATATTACATATTTTTGGTCAAAAATTACCCAAATTTTGGTCATGATCTACAAAAATTATTTTTGGTCCATATTTAAGTATTACGTGATAAGTTTATAATAAAAAATCGTTAACAATTTAGATTTTGTTTGATTGAGGGATTATATAGAAACATAATCAATACTTCATGGATCAAAATAATGTAATTAGACTATTAGAGACTAAAATGAGATAAAGTTTCAATAACG